TCTTCCGGCTACAGACGGAAAAGGAGCTGAACCCGCAGCATACAGGTGGGGGGGGGGACGGGGACAGGGCCAGGCCCACCCTGCTGCCAGCCTTCCCGCTTCACAGCCCTGCCGTTCCTGCTTTTCTCTCTCTCAGCCCACCTAGAGCAGCGCTTGAGCGCGGTGCAGGAGGAGCACCTGCAGGAACTGAAGGCCATACAGCTCGAGTTATTGATGTCGCGCCAGCGGCTCAGCAAGGTACAGGAGGCCGAAGAAAAGGCCAAGGAAGACGTACAGAGACTGAGCTCCGCACTCGAGATGGCAACAGCAACCAAGGTACAGAACGATGGTTGCAAACGCAAATCCTGTGCTCGGAGATGCAGCTAGTCTTCAAGGATTACATCTCCAATCGATGCCAATACTAGTAGCCAGTCTTTTAAGAACAACCAAAAAGGTGCTTATTCTATGCTTTGACAGATTCCAAATTGCACATGCTTCTTTAGAAATGCTTTGGCAGGTTCTGGTCTTTTGTCCAAGACGGCTAGAGATCCTCAGATGAGGAGAGGTGATCATGGAGTATTGGCTGTCATCCTGTAGTCTGCAGACCCCTAGGGATCCATGAAAGATGACTGATCAAAAGTATGTGAATACCCACGCTTACCATTCAAAGGAGTCTGTACCCCATTTAAAACTTCCAGTAGGGTCCATATTTCCATTCAAAATTTTTAGGGGTCTGCAAGTGGAAAAGATAAGGTTGAAAACCACTGTCCTGGAGGTAACCAAACCTGGACAGGAAAATTTATTTCTTACCCCTCTAAAGCTCAGGGTCCTCCTCATTGGAGTCTTAAGTGCTCCTCTCATTTTGCTAGTAGTTTAATCTTTGCCTATATTTTCTGGATTGTACAGCTTCACCACCGTTAAGTGAAAGGGGAATAAGATGCACTATGTTCATCCTAACATCTTGATGGTCTCAAATAATTGGTCATGAACAGTGCATAAAGCACTCATCATTTTAGCACTCTTGACCCAGACTGTAATTGGCAATCCAGTCTTGGTATAGTATATGATGTGAGACAATAATAAAAGATTTTTGCGCAGTCAGGTTTGGCATACTGATGACTGACTGCAGAAATGGAATAGAAATGGTTTCTCTCGTCTTTTCAGACAGATGCAGCAATTGCAGTAGAACAACTGAGGACAACAAAACAGAAAATGAATCTTAGACTTCAGGAGGTAAGGGCAAGAAAAGGCTGGGAAGAGTGCAGTTGTTGAGCACTGCTGGGGAAAAAATTTGAATGGTGATCTGTGTAAGAGTACCTCCAAATGTGGAATAGAATGTCAACACCTGAAACGGAAACTTGTGAACATTCTTAGAACTGCATCTGTAACATCATGTTTAACAGAAAAGAGTCCAGCTGCTGAACAAGAGCTGGATTCCATGCTATGAAAGCAAGGGTATTCATAGCTTTCAGTCCTCTTATGGTTATAGAGAAGACATTTTTGCATTCAGGATATGGAACTAATGACTTGTTTGCTAGCTAATGAGGTAGTAGTAGAAGGAGATGTCTTGTTATAAACCCAGTAAAGAAGTATTGTTGAAACATGAAGCCTTAGATGAAATATAGCTTGCCTCCCAGAAGCTCACACCTGTAAGGAAACAGAAGATGCATCTTAGTTGTTTAATAACCCTTCTAGCCAAATAAGCAGCCATGAAATGCTAAGAGGTATCCTGGTCAGGTTTTCGCCAGAAGGATGCTGGATGCAATAGGTAGAGTAACCATATGTCTTGATTTGGCCAAGATACTCCCAGATTCTTTAGGCTTGTCCTGACCAGTTGATCAAAAAAGTCCCAGCATGGAGTCTGGCAGGGAGGCGGAGCAGTATGGTGTGCAGGAACAGGTTGGGCAGACTGGAGCAGGTGCCACCCTGCCCATGAGTGGCACATCCTTGCTCCTGCACAGGAGCAGTTTGCCTAGTGCACCATACCGCTCTGACTCTCCGCCAGACTCTGGCCTAGGACTTTTGACCAACCACCAGCCAGGACCAGCCTGTGGACTCTGGGAATCTCCCAGCCAAGTCAGGGCATACAGTCATCCTAGTAATAGGCAAACTTCAGTGGCTGTCATCTTCAGGGCACAGAAAGGATGTGTGGTGGGCAGGGGAAGCCCTTCACTATATCAAACAAGTTCTTTCCTTCCTTTAGAAAATTGAGTTCCTAACAGATGCCAGAAAACCAAGCTGTTCCCCACATTCATAGCTGTCAAACCTACTGCTGTTAGTAGTTGTAGGTTAAGTGAAGGACATGGTCCACACACAGTCATAGTTAAAAGTTAGCTTTTTGAGAGAATTTTAGGAAAATACATCACTACCTTAAAGTTGCAAACTTACAATAGTTAGTTAGATTAATCACTACTTAGACTACTTGTACCCCCAAGACCAGGTAACAGAGCAGAACTGTCTCAGTCATCAGTCTTTTGCTGTGCCTCCTCTTGGGGGAACCCAGTTTGTTCCATAGTTGTATCTCTGGATCCTGTATTACTCCCCACTACCCATTTTTCATGAAGACACAGTGAACATATGTGAACTTCCTTTGTGGCCAAGTCAGGCACTTAGTTGATTGACAGAACTGGAGCATTTCTTTACTCTGTTGTTTTTACGTAAACAAACTTGATTTGTGGAAGTGTAGGTCTCTTGCACTCAAATCAGAAAAATAGGTAGATCTACTATGTTTGTAGGTTATGTCCCCTGCCAACAACGAGGGGGAAAAAAACCAAACAAATAAACAAACAAAAATCACTTACTTAGCTAATAAGTTGTTTTTCTGCTTTCTCTCTTTTCTTCTTAAAAAAAAAAAAAGAGGATCTGTACTATAACTCCTTAATGTAGAATGGGGGTGCAGTTTGTTTCAAGTTACATACAACCCTGGTTATGAATAAGGCAGACAAGGTTCCTTGGGTGAATTTGATATCTTTTATTAGACCAACCCAAATGGTTGGAGAATAGTTAATTTGGGTTGGTCTAATAAAAGATATCAAATTCACCCAAGGAACCTTGTCTGCCCATGTCCTTAGACCAACACGGCTACAACCTACACTCCTGGTTATGAATAATACATTTAGATACTTGTGTTGTACTTACTGGAGGATGACATCTGAAGAACGTAGAATTTCCTTCAAATAATCAAAGTTATATTCAGCCTTCACCACTTCCTGCTTTGTTCCCAATTCCCATTTAGTTTACAGAAGCAGAAGTATCTGCTCCCGACTACACTAGACCAGGGATGATCAGCCTGTAGTAGGAGTGCCACAAAGTGGCATAGGCATCTTGAGCGTGGCATACAACAGATCAGGGAAGGGATTAGCAGCAAATAAGGTAGGAGGCAGAAGGCAGAGCAGAAGATCAGGTAAGCAGTACAGAGTAAGGAACAGAAAGCATAGCAGGAAGTTCTGCTGGGTAGGAGAAGGGGAGCAGAGTATTCAGGGAGGGTGCAGAGCTAATTCATGGCACATCTGCCAAAAAAGGTTGGCCCTCACTGCACTAGATGAAGTGTGAAGCACTCAGTATTTTGACATCCCTGAGTAACATGTAGCTGAGCCCCAGTCTGAATACATGAAACAGTTTGTTTCCTGTAAAGAAGTTAGTGCCAAGAGAGCATCTTTATTCTTAGACGTGTGAAGCAAGCTCTTATTATAGGCCCTGTAACAGGGTTCTACCCCAGGGGTGGCCGTAATGCCCCTAGAGCACATTCTCAGCTCTTGTCCTCTCTGCTTCTTTTGAGCAATCTGCTCTTTAGCTCACCTGCCATGCCTTGATGTCGTTATGTCTTTAGAAGAGGAAGCTGCCCCAGTACTTCCTAAGCAAGGTCTCACGTATGAGTGCTTGTGTCTCTGCTTATAGCCTTAAGGGCTAATCACAGCCTCTGAGCTTCCCTTACAGCCATGCCCCACAGGCGTTACCAGTCATGGCTTAGGTGGGCACTTTGCCCCAAACCCCAGGCCACCTCAGGCCTCTACTGCCTCAGCCTTTCTGGTCTCTGCCTCTCCATTCTGGCAAGTCCCTTTAGCCTAGCCCCATGTCTGCCCCCTCTCAATTCTGGGCCCTCCTAGCCCCATGTCTACCTCTTTCTTGACTCTGGGCCCACTCAAGCTCTAACTCCATGCATCTTTGGCTTTACTGGGACCTCCTCTTGCCTCTACTAGTCCCAAACTCGAGCCACTGTTCAAACTCAAACAAAACACATGGGGTGTTGGTTTAAGGCCATAGGCAAATGAAGTGCTGGTTAATCCAGTAGATTCTCCCTAGGCCTGAAGAAGGGTGTTTGTACCTCAGAGCTTGTGGAAAACAATTTTTTCCAACTGTTTAATTGGCCTAATAACAGATATCACATTTACCCAAAGAACCTTATCTAACAAAACATATAAGTACTCAGGCTCTAACAACAGTCCAAACTGACTGGCCATCTGCCAAGCTTCCCCCTGTCTTGAGTCCTATCCCAATTGTAGTAAACGTTTGGTATCTTACTGGCATTGTCAGGCATCAAAGAAGTCAGCACAGCCTCTCACAGGAGCTCTTCACTGTGTAGCTGGCAGGGCCAAACTGCCTGCTTGCTCTCAGGTACAGGCATTAAGAGGCTCTCTTAAGCCTCTCCCCATTCAGTCATGTGACCCTGTAGGCACTCACAGGAGTTTCCCCACTTTTGCTGCTTTTCCTGCTAGAAGCCATCTTCAGGCCCCTGTTTCCCAGCTGACTGCCCTTACTGCTCTGCCTCCCTCCCCAGCATGAGTTACCTTCCTGTAATTAACCTCTCCTAGTGTCATGCACCCTGGTTTGTCTGCTGGCAGCCATTTCATTAGCAGCTGGCTCGCTTCCTAGCTGAGTCCTCCCAGATTCAGCTCAGCCTGGTACTCTTTCCTTTTAAAGGAACAGGAGCCTTCTGGCTTCCTGTTACAGGCCCTCAGTAACTCAAAGACAACTGTTTCTGCTGAGTCAGGCGCTAAAAGAATTTACCTGTTCTATCTGAGCTTCCTGGAGCAATGAGAGGAACTTTCTTAGTATCCTTGTAGTCCCAAGCATGGAAACACATGTGTAGGATATACATGACTCCTTTTGGACACTTATAAGTGAGAAGTTTGATTAAAAAAAGCTGCTGTGGTAAATGATTCCACTAAGTTCTCCGTATATACTGACTGAGTTAATACAATTGATCCTATTATGGGAGATTCATTAAAAACAGGTTTTTGGGAAGAGGGTTTGGGTTAGTTCTTTTTTAAAAGGACAGCTTTCTTTTTAGCAAGGAAGAGCCCAGTAGTAGTACACTGCCTTGCAAAAACTCCAGACCCAAAATTTGAGCATGGTGTAGCTTCAGTGAACCTGAAATGAAAGGAAAGTTTGCTCTCTGCAGTGATCCTTCCCAGCAGATTCTGAAATAAATTTTGAGTCAGTCCAGGAAGAGGTCCTTCTAGCCCTTGGAGGGAAATAAATATTGACATGAATATGACAATTGAAGTAGAAGATACAGTTGGATTGTTCAGTATTTCTCCCTAGAGCACCACTTCCATTAAATGCTCTGCAGCATCTTTACCAGTTCTGATATTACTAAAAATATGCCTGCTTGCTGTATTGGAACTCCATCTGCTTCAATAATATTAGTTTTGCTTTACTTGAGACTGTGTTCAGTGACACAGCCTGTGTTTGGTCTCTTGTAGCTAAAGGAGCAGCTGTCTAAGGAGGCAAGTCAACGGCAGTCCTTGGAGAAATCCCAAGTAACCATGCTGCGTCATGTGCAGGATATGGAAAGGACTGTGGAGGCAGAACGGAAACAGGTTGGAGAAGCACAGCACCTTTTTCTTTCCCTCTTTGAAGGAGACTTTTTCCACCCAGCAACAAGGAGCTGTAAGGTGCTGGATTGTGGAAAAATCTTTGCAGTCATTTAGCTGAGAAAAAAGGTAACTTATTAAGATATGAGAAGTTGAAGACCAACAGAATCTTTAAAAAGTACCAATCTGCAGAGGCAGAACAGCAGTGGGAAGGCTTTTGTCCATATTGGCTTTTTAATAATAATGAAAAAATATGCACAGATGTTCATGATACTTTATCAAGAGAAATATATTTGCTATAACTAGTTTGCCATACTTTCTTAGTTTTTTTTTAAACAAGGTTTGTGTCTTTTTTATAAAAAGAGGTACAAATAGAATACTGAGAACAGGTTACACGCATCTTGAACAGCAAGAGTGGAACATTAAAAATGACTTGGACTTGGCATAGCGTTGTATGAGAAAACAATGATTCTGAGAATATTCTATAGGATTCTTAAACCTTTTGAGAATAACATAATAGCAAAGGTGCTTTTCCATTATTGAGTGGATTTGTAGTAATAACCCTTATGAAAGGAAGGGAAAGTGCAGATAAAAAAGTATTTTGCATGCATTTTAAACAATGAAAAGACAAAACAAACAAGCAACAAAAGACCACACCACTGCAACATTACTAGTTAAAGAAGAAACCCCACATGCAACACAAGTTCCCAGGTGTACATATGCTTAAATAGACTGTCAAGAAGAAGAGTATGGAAATTATCTTTTGCTACTCCTGGAAAAACTAGTTTGGGGGTCTCAAAGGAAAACTAAATTAAGCAGATACTTTACATTTCCTTTTGCTGCACCTGGAATTGTTCATACTGCTCATAAAAACCTCATTTTCTTTTTTCCCTGCTTCCATTCTCAGATTTTGTGGGTTTTCCTGATTCCTGTAGACATCCACTTATACATGAAAATAAAGACTGAGCAGAGTTGCTTAGAGTGAAACAATTGAGGCACAGATTTGGTTTTGATCATTCAAGATTTAATGCATCTAGCTGACCCAATATATTTTTTATAAGTGAGAGATGAGGCCAGGTGAGGTATAAACATGAGTCATCCTAACTGTTTGGTATAAATCCCACCTTTCTGTGATCCTCAGTAATGTTGATCCCGTTGCTCTAAATATATATTCTTGACATTATTTCTAATGTCACAATTTTAATTGGAAACTTTCCTACAACCTTGTGTTAGGAAGTATCAGCCCTGAGTGATTCTGTTCTAAAACAGAAGGCTTGAAAGTCTGAAACAGTTAGGATTGAAGGTCTGAAACAGTCCAACTATATTTTCCACTCTTCCTCTAAGCTAACCTCTTGATCTGAAGTCTCCTTAGGCTCATATGGATTTTTTTAATGAAAACCTCCCTATCCCATGGCAAAGGGGTGGGGTGCAGAAGGGAATGAGGAGGGAGGGAGGGAGAGAAAAATGATTCTTTTTCTACAGGTGCAGCTGTTGCAGCAGGACTGCCATGGTCTGCACCAGGAGGTCCAGCTGGCCCGAGAGAAGCTACAGAAGGAGAAAGAGAGAACTATACAACTGGAGCAGGAGTGTACACAGTTGAAAGCTGAGTTGGGTATGACAGCAAAGTCACAACTACAACCAAATTAGTCCTACCACACATTCCTCCACTGCACCCAGGGAGAAGAAACTCAAATGATTGAGGTGCATTATTTTTAGAGCTAATAGGTCCTCCTATAGCTAATGGGAATGAAATTCTGCTTATTGAAATGCTTATGTATTGAAGTGCCAGACAAGGTTCCTTGGGTGAATTTGATATCTTTTATTAGACCAACCCAAATGGTTGGAGAAAAGTTATTAAGCAAGCTTTCGGGTTCAAAAACCCTTCGTCAGGCTTTAGCTTGTATGTAAATCTTTTCCTGACTAAAGTAATAATCAGGAAAATAAAACAGAATGGCAGTTTTCTTAGTGGATTTCATCAGCTCAAGTCTCTCAGACTTAAACTATTGAGTAAGCACTGGAGTTACTTTTTGAACTGGTATTTAGTCTTTTGGAACGTTGACTAAAGCTGCTAGTTAGTAATGGGGAATTTATGAGAAGCACCGTACAAGGGAGAAATTTGGTAAGGAACATAAGCAATCCCTCAGAACAAACTGAGTGAAAATCTAGTTGTTCTGATCTTGACTCTGTTTTATGGAAGCGTGATGCTTACAGGTGTAAGCGACCCAAACAAAGGCTATATCCTTAAAAAACAAGGGGCATTTTTCCTGGCCTCTTTTTAAACAGAAGGGGTTCAGGGGGAAGGAATCCTTACCTCTAGTTCTTCCAGAACAGGTCATTCACTGTAACACTGCAGAATTCGAGACCGGGGGACCCCCAAAGAACCTTCCCTTGTTATCTGTCTGTCCCAGATTCTAACTCCTTCTGGCAGAGAACCACTCTTATGGTTATTGTATTTCATCCTGAATACCTCTGCCTCACAGAGTCAGTTAACCCACTGTTCATGGAAGGGTTCCAACATCTACTAGTAAGCTATATCAAGAAGAGAATCTTGCCATGCTATTCAAATATGGTCCACTGGGTGTGAAAGAGCTTCTCACTATTGGAAAAAAAAACCCTTTTCCTCAGAAAAAAACTAAAACAAATATCCCAGAAAACTAAGAAAACGTGTGTCCTGCCAAGTGAGAAACAAGGGAAACAATGAGATTTTTTGGGGGTACTGAAGATACTACTGGTCACTATGCACTTTCACCCTTTCCCCAAAGGCTGAAGTAGAAATAAGTGCTGCAGCATTAATAAAAACAAAGTATTATACTTCGGAGTATTTAAGGGGATTTATTTACCTCTGGGGGAGAGAGAGATGCAGAAAACAAACGTGAAATCATCCTTCCAATTCAGGGTTTCTGCTTTTATTTGGAAGACCTTTTGATTGTCCTTTCCAGATCATATTTTCAGTGTGTGGTTTCCCCTCCTATCCCCACAACTTTTGTTGAGACGTCTCTTCAGCATCTTACCTAAGAGTAGTGCAATATTGAAGGGCAAGGTATGCCATTAGGTTCATTCAAATAGAATTAAAAACAAAGCAAAACATGCTTTTTGTCCCTTGGGTTTACATTTACTCTAAGCTAGGGATTTTATTTTGACATTGGGACACACGAACATGTATATAGAAACTCTGTGCAGCAATTATTGCAAGTTAGATTGTACATACACTGAGCACATGTCTGTACAAAATGTTAATGGCAGTTTATAAAGTTAACTCAGTTTGTATATGTAACTAAAATATTTGGATGTGCAGGTGACAGGCAGTTGTAAACTTTATGTATTTTAAAAGTTAGGAAATAAGAGTCTTGCCTGTGGTTACCAGGAAGGAAGAATATGCTCTAATAATTATAATCCTGTTAACCTGAAAGGTTAGATCTTTCAGTATTATCAGAAGTAGTAGAAGTCATGCAGATTTTGTCCATATGAAGTGACTAAATAAACAATTAAAAAATAAAAATGCCATTTTGTTTTATAATGAGTTTCATGGCTCTGCTTTGGTTTTGCTCTATTCTAGAATCCAAAAATTGCATCATTTCCCAACTGACTGAAGAAGCAAAAGTAAGTTGTAAGCTATGTTCATGGGGGAAAAAGTATGACTTCTTTTTTTCCCCTAAGGAAAGCAGCAAAATGCCAATATACATCCCGTCTTGCAGACCCTCTGTTATTCTTTTTCTGCACAATCACTGTTCAAAAATGAGCCAGATTGGTGGTATTTTTTACAAGAACAAATCCAAACAGACACCCAGAGGCTTCCAAGTGGTCAGTTTCTTTATCCCCACCCCCCCGCCTTTTGGACTGCTTCTGATACCCAGTTAGAGTTTCTACTAGCAGCCTGCTAAATTGTGCATGTTTTTACCATTATGAAATGAATGGAACATCCAGAATTGACTGCAGATTTCCAAGTGTGGCTGCATTCAACCCATCTACTTACTGGTTTGTACCGTGGTTATGCTAGGCGTTATCCAAAGAAGTGAGCCCTTTGCCCATGTCTTCTTATATAGAGAGCCAAAGACCTGTCGTTGAAACCAGATAGATTTCAAGGAAGGTGAAGTCTAGGCTTTGTACATACATGCAGTGTTGTAGGGTGGTAATAAGCCTTGACCTAGCAGATGTAGAAAGTATGGCAGGAGGAGAGTTTAGGGTCAAGGATTATGCCAAAGTTACCAGTACCAAAGGAAAAGGGGCACAAAGATGTGCTTGGCTACCCAAGTAACAAAAGCACATCTACAGAATCCAACTTAAGCATCAATCTTGGGTGACTTTGATATGGTTAAATTCGTAGTGAAAGTTTATGTATAAAGTGCCAACATGACTCCACTAAGGTAGTCCTGTGACAGCACTAGGAGGAGCTATTAAATAAAAGTGAGAGAAAAGCATTACATAAACTGAAATTTCAGATTGGATGGCAAAATCACCGTCTGTTAACCTTTGCTCAGGGAGAAATTTGTTGTATGCTTCCCTTTAGAATGCACAGGTCTCTTTCAGCAGAGAGAACAAGGAGAATATGCAGTTGCATTCTGAAATAACTGTCCTGCGAGAGACAGCTGAAAAAGTACAGGTAACGAAAATAGCTTTGTTTCCTGGATTCTTGAGCAGAAGTATAGGGAAAGAGTCTATAACTTGTCACAGGAGATTTTTTCAGTATGCCTCCTGGCCTAGACCTGATGCTGATCAATATCATCCATTCTCCCCACAAAACATGTGCTAAATCTAATGCCTTGCTGTTGTCGTTTGATGTCCCACATCTCCACTTCAGCTTTCTTGCCACCAACTTAATGTCATTACTCAAACGTAAGTGCCCATCTTGTAGCTGCTTTGATGATTAAACTTGATTGTTAATGAAGTATTGGTGCTGTTAGTCCTAAGCTTCTTCACTTCTTAGTTAAGGGCTGAAATGGGAGGTGAACCCTCTGTTGTAAGATTAAAAAAACCCCAAAAAACTGGGTCTTTCCAACAAGAGATACTATTGCTCAGAAAAGCTGTGGGCTAATTTTAGGTGGTTCTGTGGCCTGTTGTATGATGAAGGCTACATAATCATAATAAAAGTTACAGCTTTACAGAGGATCCTTGATTGTTAATTGCTTCTCCATTATAAGCAATACTATATTTTCCTCACATACAACATGCACCTTCCCCGCCCCCCCAAAATCAGGCTCCTAAAAATCCACGTGCAAGTATTAGGCAGAGAAGCTTATTTTCTGCCAGGGTTTCAGGCAGCTGAGAGAATCATTGGATTTAAAGGCTTCTTTTTTTTTTCACTTTATAGGTGTTAAGAGTCATCTCCTTTTTCAGAGATCTTGATTTTTCACTAATCAAACTAACCTTTCTTAAGTTTATTTTGGTGTCTGGTAGCTGCTTGTGGTCTTTGTTTCACAGCCTCTCTAGCTGTTTTCAAAACATAGGTCCACACATGAAGACTGGTCTTCAGTAGCAGCTAGGGATTCAGCTTTAGCTATATAGGAAACGGAAGGGGAGTCAGATTAGGCACTGCCCCTGCTCTATGCAGCCATAACTGGAAAATGTTTGCTTTTAAAAAAACAAGGTGCATATTATATTTGGGGGCATTTTGTATGCAGTAAAAATATGGTAGAATCATCAAGTGTTCTTCATTTCCACCCTACAGAAAAAGTGCACTTGAAGCAATGTGAATGGAGCTTGTCAGTGTCAGTATTTTACAGCAGATGTATAGCTCCAGAAATCACAGAAATAGTGAAAAGCTCTTTGCAAAAGCAAAAATATTACATAGTGCTTTTTTTGTAACAGAACTAAAAATAGAATTATAGGAATGTAGAGCTGGAAAAAGGACACTGATATATAGTCTAATCCATTTTGAAGAAGTCAGATCATGTATTCCTCAGTCTCTAATCTAGTCTTTAAAAAATTCCAGCAAAATCCACAAGTACCCATAAATAGTCCATTCTGGTATTTCATTAGTCCAGTGGTTAGAAAGCTTTTTTCAATGTCAAACTAAAATTATCTTTGTTACAAATTTAAAGTAAATGTCTTCTGATCTTTTCTGCCGTGGCCAGAGAAAACAAACTTTCCCCACTTTTGGGGTAACACATTGTTTCCTTGTATTTGTGATCCACGTACCCTGAGACGTGCAGCATGCTAGCCAGTTATTTACAGTTTGCATTCGCACAATGATTTCTTTGTTCTTGAGTGTAACACTTGACTATCATTAAAATCTAAAAAGACAGATTATTTTCATCCCATTCATCCAGCTTGTCAAAATCATTTTGAATGCTGACTTTGTCCTTCGAAGTGTTTGCAACCCCCGCTCCCACAAGCACAGTATCAGCTACAGCTTTCATGAGCATCATCTCTGTTCTGCTCTCCAAGTCCTCAATGAAAAATTGAGCAGGACTGGAAGTGTCTCCCAGCTTGATAGTGAATATTAAGATATGGTTTTTCCAGCCAGTTGTATAGTCAGTCACATGATGGTAGTTACATATAGACCAGACTTCCTTAGCTTGTTTATAAGATTTATTTGACTTTACTAAAAGGTCGAGATCTCTCACCTGCTAACGCACTCAAGTCAACTGAGCCTGCTAATTTTGTTAGCAGGCTCAGTTGACTTGAGTGCATTTATCTTACTTAATTACTTATAACCTGTGCTCCCCTATCTTGGCCTGCATTTCTATCTTCTTGTTAAAATTAATTTAATATAGTTGATCACAATTATCTCTTTTGGTTAAGATTCAGCCTTGAAATAAAATGTATGTTCTTTTTTTCCTTCTCTTTCCTAGACCCTGAATGATCAGTTAAACCAACAGTGTTCAGAGCTGAGTGCTACACTCCGAAGTGTTTCCATGGAGAATGTTAAACTTGTTTCAGACCATCAAGCTATGCTTAAGGTATACTGTTCAATGTTAAGCTATAAAAATAGCTAATGTGAATCACATTTACAGAACAAGAAACTGGGTCAGGAAGGATAGGGTGGAGAGAAGACGGTAACAATAAGCTAGTACCCTGTAGGAGTCGGAAAAAATATTTTATAAATAATGAGTTCTACTCACTAATCTGAACTGGTTTTGAACACTCAGTAAGAAACCCTGATGAAGTGTAAGCCTTATAAAATCCACCCCCACCATCCTATTTAATAGCCAGCACTCTCAAAAAATTAACATTCAAGTAAGGTTGTATAATAGACAGGAATGTGAGTTCTCCCTGCTCAGTCTACATAGTACTGAAAAAGTTCTAGCCGGTGTTGGAGCTTTACATCTTCTCTTAGCATAGCTACTTGCTCTCAGGAGTTGGCATGCTTCAGCACTACCACAGGTTATACTGGATAACACTAACAATAGCCTTCTGTCAAAGGAAGTAGGGGCTTCCTTTTGAGAATAGCCTTTGAAGTCTAACACCTCCCATAGTGTACACAATTCCCTGGTCCATTGTCTACCTCAGTCCTCTCACACTCATAGATCCGATCCCTTTTCTCAAGTTCCTTCTCTTCAGTTTGTAATCCAGAGTTCTTCCAAACTCTATAGACCTTCTGTGGAGCTTCTCACTTAGAGATGTTCCTGTTCCCCTAGTCTGGAAGCTCCTACTTCTTCTGTTGCCAAGCTAGGACTGACTCTTTTCTTCAGCTTCCCCAACGTTTATAGCTCCAGAAAAGGGTGAGCTGGAATTAGCACAGTCACACAAACTTAAAGGGCCCTTTACCAGGGCCGCAGTAGTGTTTCCTCATGAACCTTTTAAATGGGTTCCCCGGTACTATTAGAGCATGGTGTTTAATTTGTTAAATCCAGACTTTAATCAGCTTGTTCATTTCTCTAAGAGGTTTCCCCTTTTGAAATTTATTCTTATACACTGTCTCCCCACACAGTTCCTGAAACTTGAAAATTACTTTTTCTTCAGTGAAGAATTATGCTGTTCTCGCTCTGGCATCTATAACTATTTTTTTGTCAGTCAGTTTAGGTCACTAGAGTGGTACAAACATTCTTAACTATGTGCTAACTCATGGGACTTTCTTTCTCAAAAATGAAGGCTTCACTGTCATCATTTGATAGGTCTCGAATATATGCATTTAAGGGATATGCATCAATTTTTTTTTAATTAGCTATTAAAAGGTTCCTCTTTTGGGCTTCCTTTAAATAACATTTCTGTAGCTTTCTAAAAGATACTCTGCTTAATATTTATAAGGATGTGTCTACTCTCTCTCGATTTGTGTATAAGGGTTTTTGTGCAGACAAAGGAACAGCACCAAACATTGTCACTCTTTGTATTTTTATCAAAAGCTGGAAAGAAAACCCTAAGATAATTTCTGGTATTGCACAGCTGACAAAAACTGCAACTGCGGCAAATATATTGCTTGGTATGCTGCGCACAAGCACATAATATACATTTCAATATGGCCCAATGTAAGGTCATATACCAAAGAAAACAATGTAAATTGTACACCCTGGATAGATGACTATCCTGAGAAACAATGATTCTTCTGAAAAACTCAGGGATAATCAACTGAATGTGAGTTTCCAGTGCAGCACTATGATTAAAAGAGTGAATGTGATCCTTAGATACCATGGCCAACAGTTAAGTGCATATCTTTAGGCCTGAAAAAGGTTATGTTCATACTCTCATGTCAACAATAAATATTAAGTACACAGTATTCAGTAGTGTAGTAGTAGTAGCACCCAAGCTACTGCCTTTATTTTCAAATCTACTAATAGGAAGGAGCCCCCCAGAGCTCACTGTTAGAAGCCTTGAAAATGGGAAGAGTTACTCAGTTTTAGGGCTGCTAATACCATAGCAGCCTCAGTCTGAGACATGGGAAATGGCTAATCTAATCTAGCTGGAAAAGGTATAATAAGATTCAGTGGGTATAGGTTGAAACTAGACAAATTAAAATGGGAAATTAAGATGGGGGCGGGGGTTAACTGTGATGGTAATTCCTGAAAATTTTTAAGACTTAAGGTTGGATAACTTTCCAAAAGATATGCTTTTAGTGACTACTGAATTTGAAGCAGACATTAATACCAAGATGCCTGCATTATGCAAGAGGTGATACTAGATGAGAACAATGGTCCAGTCTAGTTTTAAAAAAATGTATGAAAATACAACTGGGCCCACTACTTTATCTTTTCCCTTTCTCTTTGTACACATCTGCCTGTGGCCATTTTAGTTTCACCTTTGCTATTGCTACTACTATAAAAAATTCCCTCTTTCAGGACCTAGGGAAGAGCTCCCTTAAGCAACACATCAGAAATGTTCTTGTGCTAGTGCAGGAGACAGGAAGTGCAATTGTTCTCCAATAAAACCATTAAATTGACTATTCACAAAGCACCCTCAAATGCACAAAAGCAACAAGCTGAGGTATTTGTTGAGAAGAAAGGTGATTATGGGCAATTATCTAAATAACTCCACTAGCACCACACAGGAGGCTAACATGTAGATGTAACTCTCTGTCCACTTTGCCTGAGTTATGCAGAAATTATTTTTTAAAGGAAGGGGGAGAAACACTATAAAAAGCAACAACATCTAACTATTATAATACAATTCTGGGGGAGCAGCCAGTGCTAGAAGAAAGAGTGGGTTGTGACTAAAGAGAAGACTGAAGATGAAGAATGACTGAGTGGAAATCCTTGAGAACCTGACCTAGATCAAAGAGATACTGAAATCCCTGCCTAGGAAAGGCAAGTGCTGTTTAGATACTTTCTCTAAGGGAAAGGCCATGTTCAGTTATAAAAAGATGGAACAGAAATCTTGTAACCACTGGGATAAGCAAACTTTATTTAAATAGCAGCTTTGTACCCTCTGTCAGTCTGGCTTTGTTCTCATTTCCTGCACAATCCCCAGGCTTCCACACCAGTGTTTCCTTTCCCTCTTCAGGCAGAACAGGAGAAAATGACTCAGAAACTGCAAGAACAGGACTTGCTGCTAGATGCTGCTCGTGCCAACATTATGGAGGAGTTGCAAAGTGTGCAGAAGGAAAAAGCTCAACTTCAGAGAGAGCTGTGAGTGAAGATACTTCTGATCAGTAGTCGCTGTCCTGTTCTTTCCTCATTCAGTAGTCCTCTTTGTATCCTGTTTCTTGGGTCTCCCCAAGCCTCCTCCCAAGTATTCTCTATTTCCTATTGACTGGAACTGATTTGGACTTAAGAACACAGTCAAGCTAATCTTGATGGAGAAGTCTTACGTTAATATGAAGTCCATCTTCTATTCATAATGGCCTAAGCATGCAAGGGACAAAACTCTAATTCATTTATTTCACATCTTGTTTGTACAGGGAGACCCTGCACTCTGAGCATGCCACCTGCAAACAGAAAGCAAGTGTAGCCGAGCAGACAACAACCACACAAAAAGAACAGCTAGAATCTACTATTGCTAGACTACGAGGTGAACTAGAAACAGCACTGAAAGAGAAAGCATCTCTCCTGATGG